GATGTCTATGTTTGCTTCCCCTGTCGCGAGTTCTGATCGCTCAGTGGTGATACTAATACCTATAGAATCTTTGGAATCTGATGTCTTGTATGTGCAGTTACGATAAGTACACTGTAAAATGTTTGGCTGTAAAATTACAGTAAATTACTGGCTACTAGTTGCATGGATTTCACAGTAATTGACTGTAAATATTTCACAGTAATTTACTGTATATATTTTACAGTAAATTAGAATAAAAGTACAACTAAATACTGTGACTTTACAGTTGCCATGCCCATGGAATTATAGCAGTACAGAGCTGTGGTATTATGGTACCTTGCTGTACATAAATTACAGTAATTACCTGTATTTTCACACTTTTACTGTAGAAGTAATGCAACATAGCCAGTAATTTACTGTAAATATGCAAATCTAAATAATACGATAATATATTGTAAATTTGACTGGGATTGTACTGTACCATAACTACACAATTCAATCAGCTCAATCAACAAAGAAAAACAAAGAAAAATGCCCATTTTAACTTTGTATTACTCCATTGAAGTGCAAAGTACATTTCACAGTGTCTTGGAAATGTTGTTAGGGCCCCAACCTCTACTCCGCGGTAGTGGCTCGTGCTGAGACCCGCAACATGAAAGAATACACGCAATAACCGGTACTTGGTAACGAGCATTTATTGATAATCAGCCGTTTGCTCACACAAGCGAAATGGGAAACAAAAAGAGGTCTGGAGGACTGGCCAAAAGGAACAAACAGAAGGAGGGAACCCGAGCCAGCCACACCACGGGCCGTAGGACCCAGAGCTTCCCCCCCAACCAGAAATCAAATATAAACCCTATGGGAAACAAAATAAAGCCGCGAAAACTGGACTACCAGGCTAAACAAAAAACACATCTGCAAAAATATGGCCTACAGCTCAAAATGGCAAAGAGGTATTCTAAGGAGAGTGTCTCCCGGCGTTAGGATAGGTGAGACATCCTTCTCCTCCAACTGAAAATAGTTCTCCTGTCGATGTACATGAGGGGAGGTTGGGGGGTCCTTTCACTCGCGCTGTCTTCTGTGCTGACTGTGTATAGTTGGTATTCATTGTTTGTGTTGTTACTGCTTTCGCTTCCCAGATAATGTAAGAGTAAGTATCGGTTGTACGTAGCGTGCTGTTGCTGAAATAACTCGACGCCTGCAGAGGAGAGAGGACTGCTCGCTGCGGTGTGATGGTCCTCACCTTGGAGCCGTCTAGGACGTACAGGTCTCCACGTGGTAGATACGGTCTGACCTGAGACGTGTGTTGTTCGTTTCTTTGTGGTCGGACTCAGTCTGTCTCTCTCTTGTATATGCGGGTGTGTTGGTCGTTCTGTTTTTGTTTTTGTGACTCTCGGCCCACCTAGTACAAGGCGTGTATGTTCTGTTTTCATAGTGTCGACGAGAAACAGTTTCGTCTTAATGTTGCTGTGTCCTGTCGAGTCCGCATCCTGCCGCGTAGTGGGAGTGTTTTTGGGTCTGTGTTTGTTTGTCATTGTTTGTTGTTTTTGCCTTGCCTTTTGTTCTTTTTTGTCGTTTTTTTGTAATGCATTAGGATTGTGTCGGGTGGTTTGGGACTCGAGCGTGTTGTTGGTATCGCTGTGGTCTCTTGTTTTCATTTTATTTTGGGCTCTGTGTGATTTTTGATGGGGCTGTATCGGGGGTGCCAACCGGGGCATATTCCTGATGTGTTTTATTCGTATATGGTGTAATATATGTGACTATGTGGGTGGTGAGTCTCTCGTCTCATCTTTTTGTTTTGGGCGTGGGTGTTTCGGGTAGTGTGTGTGCTAGCGCTAGTTCTTGAGCTGTGTTGATTTGGGCTGATCGTTAGCAGGATGCATTGGGTCCGCGTCTTGGGCTCTTCTTATGTGAACTTGTTCTGGTTGTTGACACTCAGCGTCGGTTCGCGACTTCGAGCGTGTGTTCGTGTCCCTGTCGTATGGACGATATTCGCGCCGGTCACCGCTCCTGGCTATTAGAGTGTGTGGTGGCTGTTTGGGTGGTGGGTATTCATTTGGTTGTGGTGGTAGTTTTTTGTGGGTGCTCCGAACCGGGATGCGACGTCGTTCACTCTGGTCACTGACCAGACTTCTGTGTGTGATGTTGAGTTTGGTACCCTAAATGCTTTCTTTTGGTGTGTCTCTCCCTGTAAGTTGTATATTGTGCCGTTCGCTGGAAGTGAGGGGTCGTGTAGGATATCTCTACGTTCACCTTTCGATCTAAACTCATCAGCCACGGAAGTTTCCGCTGTGTTAGAGAAAGTCAGGACAGGGGATCAACGTGATGTAGTGTGAAGGTCCTGTCTCTAACTATTGTGTTGTTTGTTGGTCTCTAGAAGGACTTGTGATTCTGGCGGTTCGTAGCATCGGACGCGGGTACGTAACGACGGACGGTAGCTAGTGGTAAGCTCTTTTGCCTGTTGGCGTGTCTTATCGGTTGTTATGCCTGGATAGCGATCGGACGCGAAGACTACGTTTCCTCAGAGCGTCTCGATGATGTGTGCGAGAGGTCCTTAGTGTTTACAGCGCGGTGATATACTCGCTGAAGTCTGCGATCCAAGATCCTCTCTCGCGTGTAGCTGGGTCGGGCGGAGTGTGGGTAAGACTCGTGGTATCTTGGTATTGAGTACTGTACGTGTTGTGAGTTAGTGACTCTGCACGAGAGTCACTGTAGCGGGAGACGCCGTAGAGACGGTTGCGCTCAGTCGACGTAAGGGAGTTCTCTCGGTTTGTTTTTCGCGAGGACCTGAGGAAGTAGCGTGAGTCAACCGGGGCCCCGTTTGCTCTCACAACGACTCGGCGTTGGACGCAAACATGGATTCCAGCCAACCGGTACATGGACGGTAGAACTTTAACACCGTAGAAGGAGCGGCGACGTTCACATAGGAGACTCCTTGTCGCCTGGTCTAACGACACGGGCAGGCACGACAATTGCTGGATATGCTACCTGTCCATGTTTTCTCAAAGCAGTTACTGGTTGAGAAAACATAGGATCCCGATGTGAGTAGTTCCGTCGGGCAATGTCCGTTGCCGAGGAGGGGTGACCTAGCACCTTCACTAACGAGACCGAATTCTCAGTCCCAAACGTCCGGTTGCCCGACGCACGGTAAGATGAGCAGCTGACCGAGTGTAGGACCCGGAAACATTCCCACCAAGTAGTTCTAAACATGTCTCGCTCGCCAGGAGTGCGAGTGAAGAGACGAGCGAGAGAGCCGAGGGGCGAGGAGAGGGGGCGACACGCGGCGCTCACGACCGGGCACACCTCTGTCCCAAGATGACCATTCAAGACCAACAAAAACCACTAATAGCTCTTTCGTACCAGATCTAATGCCTCAAAGTATAAGGTATCACTCTGTTAGCTGCCTCACAATGCTTACTCTGAGTATCCAATGAATGCTTGGGTCAAAGAGTCTCATTGTTACTTCACTCCTACAGAGTGGTCTCTGCCGGGAAGACGATTCCGCTTCGCTCCTCTCCACGATAAAACTCTGTCGACGTGCATCGCGTCAATGAATATCCCACCCACCTAGGGACTCATTACAGTTCTAGTGGTCGTAGTCCTACCGCATTACTCTAGACTAGAAGACAAACTATGCGAACTCTGCGTAGGGTATCGACTCTGTAGAGTGAAGTACAATGAGACTCCTGACCCCAATGCATTCATTGGAATCAAAGTACTATGTGTTTAAGACCATGTCCCAATTAACCACTGCGAATCGATCTTTCCTCGTGCCAAAAAAAGGGAAAAGGTCAGGTCACTGGCAAATGAGATTTGGATAGAGACAGTATTGAAAAGGAAATTCGGGCTCTCCTGGGATTAGGTGCCAGCCGCCCATCAAGAAAGTATTTTGACACAGGGAGCCCGAAGAATAAAATTTTGGATTAATTACAAATGTGAGTGAATTGCCAATCTTGAGTCGATTGACTTCTAGTACTGTAAACATGGCTTGTTTCGTGTCGTAGTGTTCTTCGCAGATTTACTCGGGACTCGCTTTTACGATTGCTGATCTTATTGAGTTCGCATTTTAGTAAAGTGTTATGAAATCGACATATAAATTTATTTAATGCAAAATGTGAAATTCAAGAAATGGACATTACAAGTGTTATTGTGTGACATTAAATCTAAAGGTTTCACTTTAGTTATGTCCGGTCAATTAATGACACTACGTTGTCCTTTTACTAATGGTCCTAAAGTGTTTACATGACATTAAGTAAAGTGTCATTTATGCATAAGTGCTGGTAGGGACGCTATTTGTTGTTTATTCACCTAAAGGACGATAACCGAGAACGAACCGAATTTATTATTACATAAAGAACCACGTCCAAATGAATTAACTTTCCCCATGCGACGTACGATTTTATTACTTACGTTGTATATTTAGTCTTTTAACTTAACAAAGAACCGATCACAAATAGGTCCAGAAGGACCCGTATAGACTCTGCCGAGCTTCGTTCTTCTACGTACCGTAATTTGGAACAGTCGTGTAAGAAGTCTATTAACAACTGAAACTCACCTACAGGACAATCTTACACAATTACGAGGGAGGGAACAAAGAAATGACAGAGGACCGGGCGGAGAACTGTCCCACAA